CCCCCTCTATAGCGCAGCAACAAAGGACAAAGCAGCAAAGCATGCGTGCTCTACTCCCGGTGGGTTGGCATGGTGACCATGACCCAGTGATTCGTCCAGGGCCCTTCAGATAGCACCGCCCTCTGCTTCCAAATGCTCCACGTGAACACTAATGACTCTCAAGGTTGAGCGCACACGACTCCTCACATGAGAGGACTCTCAAGACAGAACACACATCCTCACGGTAAGAAGTGTCGAAGAGGGTAGATAAGGTTAGGTGCAACGTACCTCAAAATAGCTGCCCCCAACCACAAATATTCTCACCATATGACCCGATGTTGATTGTGATGACCAATTGCTGCTTCGGCACAACCAGCATTGCACCGACGTTCCACCTCATCATCAATCACACATCGGATAGTTCTCATCACACTGCGAACACCCAATATTCCCCACATAGCCTTCCTGGCGATCCCCTCTCCACCTAGGTCGCCTGCTTGCCTTGGCCTTCCTCACTACACACTCCCTACGGCCGCTCGCTTAGCAGACCGCATGCATGTACCGCATAGGCAGAAGACAAGCGCCAGATGAGCGCACCGTACCACAGCTCTGATACCAATTTGCAAGGAAAATCAGCGATAGCGAACTTCAGAAACCAAACAGCATCATACACATGAGACCAGATGGTCGTGACCTCGAACCAAAAGCAGAATTACATCGCGAGTCCCACCAAATGATAGCACAGCAAAAGCTCATAAGTGACAATGTTCGAGTAGTCTCATCATCATCAACAAAGAACCAATGTCGACATCCTATCTGGCGCTCGGCGCCCAGACTACAAATGGCAGATCCTATCTAGCCTATCTACAATGCCACTGATGACGTCAACAGCTCCCCGAAGCACGAGCAGATCTCCACCAATGCCGTATGCTTCAAGCACCAGGTATGACTCTCGTAGCACTCGTAACCTCGTTCCCCAACTCAAAGATGCCACATGCACCCAAGGACCACCATGCGCCCCATCCAGCATACAGCAGCGCAGCTCGGCTATGGCTGCCTGCTCCTTCCAGTTCGTCTGTGAGCGCGTGAGCGCTGGCCAGCGTTAGCGCAGCAGCGCTTGCGCAGCATGCAGCCAGTGCCCCAATATCGAATGCGTGGGCAGGCCCTTTCCTAAATGGAAGTGGCCTGCCTGCCTTGCGTGCAGCTTGGCTGTGCTGGGCCCCTGCCCAGAAGCTTCCGGTAGGCCCAGAGAGGCTGAGCCCCAGACCAAACGAATCAGGCCCTGGGCCTATGGTGGTTGCCAGTGTTCAACTGCCTGCAGTCTATGTTCGGTCCATCTTGAGAATCTGGCCCAGGGCCTGCCTCGGTTACATTCAAAAAGAGGCAGCCTGGGCCTGGGCGTTCTCAACCAACTGGCGCTGCAAACTGCCTGAATTTACCCAGTTGCGTGGTGACCCCAAAACAGGCCTGAAGGCCCTGGGCCGAGCCTGCCTTCACTTGAGGGCGGCCGACCATACAGAAAATAGGGCCCAGTAGGGCAGATCGAGGCCCTGAGCCTTGCACAATCTTAAAGACGCTGAAAATGTTTAATGCTCCCCCTTTGGATAATGTTGAACATTCTGAAAATTTTGAAGTGGTGAAAATATTGAATATTCTGAATGCCCCCCTTATCTGATTATATATGAATGCATATAGACGTTGAAGATTCTGAAAACTTTGAAGTGGTAAAATGATGAAAATTTTGAACACCACCCCCAGGCGTCCGGATGGATTAACGGGTAAACAAATATTCAACACTTACAATTGTACTGAAATTTTAAACATTACCCCTCCTAAAACAAGATGAAAATGAACGGGGGAGGAGGGGGGGGGGGGGGGGGGGGCAGGTTTTTAAAAAAAAAATTCCAAAATTCTGAAGTGGTGAAGGTGCTGAAAATTATGAACAGCCCCTCCTTAAAGAAAACAAAACAGGGGAAGGCGGGGGGTAACTCACAATTTTTAGCATCTTCACCACTTCAAAATTTTCAGAATCTTCAGCATCAAAATCCATCTGGACGTTTGGGGGTGGTGTTCAAAATTTTCAGCAACTTAACCATTTCAAAGTTGTCAGAATCTTCAACGTCTATATGCGTTCGGATATAAGGGGGTCATTCATAATATTCAATATTTTCACCACTTCAAAATTTTCAGAATATTTAACATTATCCAAAAGGGGGGCATTCAACGTTTTCAGCATCTTTGATTGTCAAAATCCAATTTCAAAAAACTTCAAAATTGTTGAATCTTTTTCCACTTTCAGAATTACTTTTGGATAAGATTGAACGAGTCATTGACAATCACGACACTTGATTTCAGGAAAAAAAAAGGCAACAACGCTATAGACGTGAAATCCTTTGGATACAGAATCTACAGTTGGTGTGATATTAAGCCTTTTTTTAGATTGTTACAGCGGCGTGGTTGTCACGCTCGTTTGCTTTAAAAAACAAGCAATAACAACGATTTGGACGTGAAAGCGGTTAGATTCAGAATCTTGAGGTCGTGTGAGATGATGCCCTCCGTTGGAAACTGTCAGCGATGCGAGCAATGCACCCTTGCCTCGCTGGCAAGGCAACAAAAAAGTCTTCCCACCTCGTTCAAGGCCTTCCCTGACATCATTCCTCTTTGTACAAGACCCCCGAAAAATGCGGTGTGACATATATTCCCCTTTTCCCCAGCATTGAGAAAGGTATTGGTGGCTTATTGACAATATACCATTAAAAAAATAAAACAAAAAAATCTATAAAAAAAACAACTTTAGAAAAAAGGACGGGGGAGGAGAGTGTTGGCCTAAAACACTGCTGCTACTCGACAGGGGCGGGGGAAGATGAAAAGGGAGGCGCATCTACTGGCTTTGTGTTAGTCCTGCCCCAACCAGCGGCCACAACCGAGGCTAGGGGCAACATGCAATCCCTTCATTGTAAGGTAGCTATGATTGAGGGGCGCAGCCAGCCGGTTGCGAGCGCCAGCGAAGGTCCCTGCCCCCCCCCCCCAAAAAAATAAATAAATAAATATTAAAATAAATAAATCTGAACAAGAACCATGTCATGGAGACAAATAAACTGTGCAACTTTTGCCTCAAGGTCTCATAAAAAAGAGTCAAAAGACTAATTAAGTTTTTTTCCCAGTAAGTGGTCCCCATTGATAGACTAGGTGCATGTGGTGTGCACTTGAATCAAACAGCTCCCTGAAAAAAAAAAAAAAAAAGGGGAACAGAAAAGCAAACATTCAAAGGGGCATAGCTGCGCAGTTCAGTTCAAAGGCAGACACTCAAAGCAGAATACACAGCTGAAAACTTGAGGGAGATACAAGGGGACAGGGATGGACAGGGACGCTGGACCTGATGTTCAGCAAGCGAGTCAGAGATGTAAAAGGGAGCCTGGCAAGAGAAAGGACATACTGTGACCCACAGACTGGACCACCAAGACCGAGGGACACTGTACCCGACTCCCATCAATTATGACATGTTTTCAGCAGGCCCTCCTCCCCGCCAATAGATTGGGGTCATCACAACAGGAGAACCCTCTTTTGGGAGCTGCTCTTATCACTCCCAAAGCCGGACCCCCTAAGGTGTTTCTTATTTCTTTGAAAGAAGAAAAAAAAAGGTACTTAGGACGTTTACAGCTCTATGGGAAGCAGACTCAAGAGAGTCAAAACTATGAACTTCACAAGCAGGTGCTGCAGAGGCTCCGGCACAGAAGAGAGGCAGAAGGTGATCAGACCAAAGAAAAAAAAGGGAAAATAGGAGACTTTTGGAGGCTCTTTCACTCTCCACCGCTGAGGTTTTTGTCCATTGCATATCACTATGTGGGTTTAGTGAGGTAACACGTGAATCACATGTGGTGCCATGTAGATTAAGCAAGGTGCTATGGGGGCAGGACAGGTAGAAGGACCACATTCTTGACACACACACAGAGGTACCATGTCTGGTGCATCATACCATGTGGACTTGATGGCACTCAAACACAGACAGCTGCCCATAACAAAAAACGACAAAAGCACAGATGGCCCCAAAACACACCCACACCCACACCCACACCCACCCACCCACGCACACACGCGCGCGCGCACACACACACACACACACACACACACACACACACACACAGAGGCACAGTTCGGCCCTTGGCATCGCTAGGGGGTACTGCGTGGGGAGATACCATGTCGGCAGGTTGGCACCATGTGGACATGGTGGCAACATGTGGGGCAGGTCATATAATGCTGACTGAAGGGTACCAAGTTACCAACACACACAGGTCCACAGGAGAAAATTACAATCACGCGGCCAGGGTGAAAGGGGACAGACGGCCAAAGTTAGGTAGAATATGGCCCCGTGCACTGCCGGGCCTTGGCGATACTTGAGGGCACCATGTGGGGTGGTTCATACTATGTGGAGTGGATGGCACAAAGATACATACAGCCACCAAACAAACAAACAAACACATGCCCCATCCTCCCTCCCCCCCCCCCCCCCCCCAAAAAAAAAAAAAAAGGGCATAACTTGGCACTTGGCGCAGCCAGGCGATACTCAAAAGGACCTTGTTGAAAAAGCAAAAAAACAAAAAAAGAGAAAAGGGGAGCTTTGGAGTTCTTTTGGAGGTCTCTGCAGACATCTCTTTCACTGCTAGATAGAAATGTTTTGAAGGTCTCTGCAGACATCTCTATCCCTGTTATGACTGCTAGACATTTCTTTGCTCCTGACAGTGACCACAGTCCAACAGCTACAGCCATGCACCCACATGCCGTTTAGAATGATACTGTGGCCATGAATTTTCAACTTCTTTGGAATGCTGGTGTTAGGCACAACACCACCCAATGCCGTTCAACTTCTTTATAGTGCCTGTTCAGTAGGCCAGTTCCCTTTGAGACTGGTGTCAGTCCATCCGCCGGCACATCAAGACTCTGGAGAAAATGTGGGCCTAGTCACATCGTGACCTCTGAATCAATGCCCCTACTCGCATGAAAGATCAGGGTCTTCACAATACCTTTTCTAGTTGTGGGATAGTAAGGTCCTCCCACGAAGTTTCAAGGAGTGATCTTGTCAGTTCCACCCCTGGTGTTTTCTCCGCCAAAGAATTGAAAGCCATAGCCAACTCCTGTGCATCATTGCCTTTCAGTTGATCAAACCTAACAACCAGGCGATCCATCAACCACAACCACAGAAAAGCAAGCTGCTTGACTAAGACTGATCCAATCGAAAGTGAGCAAAGCGAAACAGAAATTGCGGTGCACCATCATTCAGACTTTCACAAAGGCATACGGACAAGATAATCAGCAATACAAGGCTTGTTCAGGAAGGAGTGGAATATAACATAATGCCAGAAATCTAAGATCGACTTCTGACAAGTTGCTTAAAGATTCTAGATGGTTGCCAGAATCTAAGATCAATTTCAGACAAGTTGTTTATAGAGGATCCAAAGGCAAACATGAAAGAACTGCCGGAGGAGCAAGTTTCTTTCATATGTCAATTGACCGGTAAGCTTTTGCAAATTGTATCGAATTAAAAGCCACATGCTCCGCCGCTTGTGCAGGCCTCTGTCTGGGCCTGTCAATTCCTCTGTCAAAAACAAGTGTGCACAGACATCAGAATGTAGATAAACAAGAGCACTCGCACACGACGCACTGAATTCATCCAGAGGCACGCTATTGCGGCCATGGGTACAGTGGTAGCGGACAGTCTGCATTGTGTGCTAACATGCAGTGGACTGGTAACAAGTGCGCGCCATATTCTGGGAGGCACATGCGACCCTCATTTTCGTTTTAGAGTGAAGCCCACACTTTCGCTGCACATTTGAGAAATGCTAAAACTTTGGAGTGGAACCCTCCCCCCTCACAGGCCCCCCACAGCCCGCCCAACAGCCCCCCAGAAAGCACACATGTACACACACATGCACATACAGAGGCAGACACACCAAAACCCACACGAACACACACACATGGAAGGAGAAGGGACGTGCAGTCAACATGGACGCGCACATGCACCTGCATGTGTGTGTTTTAGATTTTCAACACAACAGCCCCTGTTCCAACCGGATGAGTAGATCCAAAATTGATGCAGCTTTACCTCTATAGCATTATTGAGGTGAGACATTCCAACAATGAAATGGTTTTACCTCTATAGCAGAATAGATCCTCTATATTCCTTTCTTGACTTTATTTACTTTGGGTTTTTTTGGGGTACCCCTTCTATTTGTTCTACAGGGCTGGCCACATTAATTGTGGTTTAGCGCCAGCTGCTCACATGCCTGTGTGAAGGCAGAGTAAAGGGGGAGGTATACTCCTGTTCATTTTTCTTCAGATGTTCAGCTTATATTTTGTCTGTTCTCTTAATGATGGATAGGGAAGGGAAGGGGCAGAAGATCTATAGGAAGTGATGGGCGGGGGAGGGAGAAGGAGAAGAGGAAATGGAGGGTGTAATGACCTGCCAGACTGAGAACACTGCTGATTTCTGAGTTTTGCGCTGGAATGTATGCCTTGCTGAGATTCCTGCGTTCTGCTGAATTTTCTATGTCTGTGTGTGTGCATGCTTCCTGGTCTGGATGCCTGTCTGATTGCTTGTCGGTCTGAGTGTGTGTGTCGCCCGCCAGAGCACTGGTTTGATTGGGAGGCCTGCGGGGCCAGTACTTACCTGTGGCCATGACTTTTAGGGCTGCAATGGGGAAAAACACACACATGGCCGAAGGGGTAGCTTAGGGCACACTCAGGTAGCGTAGTGCCGGCAGGAAAAAAATTTTGGCTGCCTAAATCCTTAAAGCCGAGACTGATGGATGATTTGATAAAACCCATCAGGCTCTGGAGTGGATCCGACTGGAAGGAAACTAGCACAAGGGACACACACTCACTGGGATGCCAGGATGACGGCAGTGGAGGACCGGCTGTCCACCATTGACACCAAACTGGCCTCCCTGGCAGAGTCCATTGACCTCAGTCAGCGCCTTCCTCCTGCTGCTGTTCTTATTTCTCCACCCCTTCCTCCTTCAGTTTCTACATCGGCTGTCACACTCCATTCCCAAGCATCCTCATCCTCTTCTGCTGCCACATCCCAAGCCAGTCTTCCCAAGGGCAATCTTTCTACACCCCCACAGGTGCAGAATCTGCAGCTCGGGATGTCGGAGCCTGCATCCTCAGTACCGGTGCCTACTGTCTCAGTGACAGTTGAGCCCAGGTACCCCAAGATACCTCAGCCTGACAGGTTCACTGGGGATGACCCCAAAGTGGACGTCACAGACTGGGTAGCTTCAATGAAGTCCTATCTGAGGAGCTTCATTTGTCCTGAGGTGAGCAAGGTGCAAAACACAGTGGCCCTGTTGGCAGGGTCTGCACTGAAATGGGCCACTTCTAAGGCTAACAAGTCTCAGCAACAACTGGCTGATTGGGCTCTAGCATTCGGGTTGGATGGCATCTTTCAGGGCCTGGAGGCAAGGTTCGCAGACAAAGAAAAAGCTCGCAAAGCTGCAAACGAGCTGGTTGGTCTTGGCCGGACTAAGTACAGGAGTTCCCTGGCCAAGCTCTATGCACAATCTGAGCGCCTCACCTCCACTCCTGGTTTGGACATGTCTGAAGGTGACCAACTAACTTGGTTTGTCAGGGCAGCTCCTGAAAACTACACCACGGCCCTGTGTTCTGCAGGTCAAAAGGACTGGTGAACTTTTGATAGAGCAGCCTTGGACATGGAGGCCACACTCCCATGTTCAGTCCTCTTCCCAGCAGGGAAGCACCTCCTCTTCCCAGAGTAGGCAGAAGAAACAGTGGGGCATGTACACTATGGAGTCTGAGGATGACTCTGCAGGCCATGGCCAAGTAGGATCTACTCCCCCAGCTGGCCAGAATGCAGGAGACTCCGCAGATCAGGCTGCTCAAGTGCTAGCCCAGGCACTGTTGGTCCTCACAAGGGGCAAGCAGTTCCAGGACAAAAGTCCTCCAATCCTAAGGGGCCAGGCAAACAGCCCAGTGGACCTCAACAACAGAACCTCCCTAGGTTTGTCAAATGTCCCAACAATCGCATGGATCTTACCTCTTTGCCTTTGGAGGGATTTGAAAATCCTAAAGGGTGTCTGGCAAAAGAGGAAGGGCAGGGGAGTCTGTTTGCATTGTGAGCGAAATCATTATGTCAAAGATTGCCCCACGCTGAACCACAGCAACTGCAGCCATGTAAAAAACTAGGCAGGCCAGCAGAGACTGCAGCCGGTCCTGCTGAAATGAATCCATCTCCTTTAGGAGATGAATCGGCTTCTTAGCCTGAATTTTCTGAGGCTGCAAGGAACTTAATGTACTCATACATTGAGCCGTTCATTGATAAGCCCATATCAAAGGAGGAGCTTGACCAGCTCTTTTCTCTTCATGCCTAGTTGAAAGGGTAGAGAAAGACGTGATCAGAACTGATCATGCTCACGCCTCTAGTAAACAAAACTACAATCAAAGTCGTGCTTGATTGTGGAGCAACCAGGAACTTCATCTCTCAGAATGGAGTTCAGAAACTCCACTTGGGGCTCAAGGTTACAAACATTCAGCACTCTCTGGAGATTCAAATAGGTAATTTCCAATTTGTCTCAGCCAAACAGGTAATCAAATGTATGCCCACCTTTCATCACAAAGGAGAAATCAGACATGCCTATCTTCCTTTTGATCTGGTCCTCAGTTTGAAGTGGCTGAGGGCAACTAATCCCTCCATTGATTGGGCTCTGCCTAGTATCAGATTGAAGAATCCTCAGGGTGAGCTAAGACAATGTGTCTTATCTACAAAACATAATCCTAAGACAAGGTGTTACTGCCTGAAAGCCAGGGAGTTTTATAACTTGTCTAAGGAGTTTGACCAGGAGAATCTATTTGTGGCGAATTGTCACTCAAACAGATTCAGGGTTGTCCACTTCTCATATTGACTTATTCATTCAGCAAGTGGTTGATGAGTTTTCTGATCTGGCTTAGGAGCCTAGTGGACTTGTCCAAAGGCAGACCAAGCACCACGTTCAAATTTTGCCCAACTCTACCCCTCCCAAGGGAAGAGTCTACAGGATGTCACCTGTTGAACTGGATGAGCTAATATTTGAATCCTTAACTGAGAAAGGGTGGATCAGGCCGCTCATCTGAGTATGGGCACCAGTTCTCTATGTCCCAAAAGGAAATGGTAAGCTTAGAATGTGCATATACTACAAAGGCGTGATCAAGATCATTAGGAAGCACTCAGAGCCCTTGTCTAGTGTCGATGATCTGCTGGACATGGTGCAACGCTACAAAGTCTTCAGCAAAATTGATATAAAATCCGGGTATCATCAGATCGAAATGGCTGAAGAGGACGTGCACAAGACAACCTTTACGACCGGGTATGTCACCTATGAGGTCCTAGTCATGCCCCTGGGTTTGTGCATGCACCAAGGACATTCCAAACAAAGATGAATGAGATTTTTAAACCCTTCCTTAACCGCTTTGTTGTTGTTCTGCAGGTCCTGAGAGAGCATAACCTAAACAAAGAGAAATATTTTGGTGTTTCCTCTGTTTTATACTTAGGTCATGTGATTTTTGTACATGGTGTACCCTAATGCCTCTAAAAGTGGTTGCTGTCAAGGAATGGCCACAACCACATACTATGAGGGACATCTAATTTTTCATGGGGTTCGCCTCCTACTACAAGAAGTTGATCAAGACATTTTCCTCTATTGCTACACCCCAGACTAATCTGCAAACTAAGGATGTTCCCTTCAGGTGGACAGCCACCTGCCAATTAGCTTTTTCTAGATTGAAAAAGCGCTCACTCAAGCACCTGTGCTGGAACTGCCTGATCCTACCTTACCATTTGTGTTGACCACAGATGCAAGTCGGTATGGAGTTGGTGCAGTCCTTCAGCAAGATGATAGGACTGCTCGGAAATCAGTGGAATTCAAGAGTAAGAAAATAAATGTGCAAAGAATTCAGGCATCTACCTATGAAAAGGAACTATATGCTCTCATTTGTGCCCTCAAACGGTGGAAACATTTCTTGCATGGAAGACACTTCAAGATCTACTCTAATCACTCCAATCTGCAGTGGATGAAGACCCAAGGTGAGTTAAATAACAAAATGGCGAGGTACATTCAGTTCATTGATGGATTTGACTTTGAACTGAATCCTAAGAGGTCCCCTAATCGGGTCGT